CCTCTTTCACTCTGCTCTTCCCCTCTTCATTTCCCTTTCCCTTTTCCGCTCTCTCACTCTCTCTTACTCATTGATCTTCTCTAAATTCACCCTTCCCCTCTCACTTTATATGCTACACTACCCCTTCCCACCTCCCTCCTCTTCCTCCATAAAATTCTCCACCTCCTTCGTTCCCTTATCCCCTTCCCTCCCTCTCCCATTCCCCTTTTTATGCGTCTCTCTCCCTTCCCTCTCCCTCCTCTCCACCCCTCTTTTTCTGTTCGCCCCTCTCCCATCTCCCTTTATTCTGCGCCCCTCTCCATTCCCTCTCTCTTCCTTCCCTCTCCTACCCCTCTTTTTTCTGTTCGCCCCTTTCCGCTTCCCTCCGTCTCCCATGCCCCTTTTTTCTGCGTTCCTCTCCCTCCCCCCTAACCGATCCCCCTTCCTCTGTAAATCCCTCCCGTTTCCTCTTCCCCATCCCCCTTTTTAAGCCTCCTTCCCTTTCCCCTTCCCCTTTCTTTCCCTTTACCCCTATTCCTTCTTTCTCAACCCTCCTCCATCCGATAGTTGTATAGATAATAAATGTGCATAGACTGACGGTCTAACTACTTCAGTGCAGAGTACTTGCCTCGAAGAAGAAGAATGATAATAATAAAGATGATAATGATTATAGTAACAATAATGATAACAACAAAATAATGACAAAAATAGCAATTGTAACAGTGATAACAAAAATGATAAGGATGATGATAATAACATCGTAAGAATAGGTGAGAATATGGCGTCAGTTATCACCCCAATTTACACCGAAATGGTTTAACTGCAAGTCCGGTCACAGAGAATAGGATTCCAGGTGTGTCACAGAAAATAGGATTCCAGGTGTGTCACAGAGAATAGGATTCCAGGTGTCACAGGAAGGTCACAGAGAATAGGATTTGTGTCACAGAGAATAGGATTCCAGGTGTGTCACAAGAGAATAGGATTCCAAAGAGAATAGGATTCCAGGTGTAAAGGCCAAACGGAACGGACGGACGAAACAGAAGTTGATATGTAACACTGTTATTATCATCATTGTTCTTGTTAGTAATATTATGACTAAACTATAATGACCATTGTTTTTATAATGATAATAGTAATGATATTTTTTGATAATTATTATTTTTAGTACTAATATTGTTACTATTATTGTTATTATAATTGTTATTATTATTAAGATTGTTGTTATGACAAACGTTATTGTAAAGATGATTATGATAGTTGTTATTGTTTTTATCATCATGTTTACATCTTTATTATTTTTATTATTATTATTATTATTATTATTATTATTATTATTATTATTATTATTATATAATATTATTATATTTGCAATATTTTTGTTGTTATTAATACTGATATTGTTATAATTCTCATTGTTTTATTCTTATTTCTAGTCTTGTTCTTATTTTCATTCTTATTATTGCTACCATAATCATTATTTTGGTTGTTATTGTTGATAATGTTAGCTTTTACATTGTTATTAATTTATTGTTATCATCAGTCTTATTGTTATATTCTGCAATTTCAATAAAGCTATTTTGAATGCAATACGCAATCAAGAAAGATATGAATAATGGAAGAATAGAAGCGAAAAAAGAAAGAAAAGTAGAAGAGGCACAGTCACATGACAAGAAAAGTAAAAAAAAAAAGAAAAAAATACGAAGAAAAAGAAAAAGGAGAAGGAAATATGAATAAAGAAAAAAGGAGAAGAAATGATAAAGAAAAAGGAGAAGGAAATATGAATAAAGAAAAAAGGAGAGGAAATATGAATAAAGAAAAAAGGAGAAGGAAATATGAATAAAGAAAAAGGGAGAAGGAAATATGAATAAAGAAAAAAGAAGGAAATATGAACAAAGAATAAAGGAGAAGGAGATATGGATAAAGAAAAAAGGAGAAGGAGTTATGAATAAAGAAAAAGGGAGAAGGAAATATGAATAAAGAAAAAAGGAGAAGGAAATATGAATAAAGAAAAAAGAAGGAAATATGAATAAAGAAAAAAGAAGGAAATATGAATAAAGAAAAGAGAAATATGAATAAAGAAAAAGGAGAAGGAAATATGAATAAAGAAAAAGAGAAGGAAAATGAATAAAGAAAAAAGAAGGAAATATGATAAGAAAAAAGGGAAGGAAATATGAATAAAGAAAAAGGAGAGAGAAATATGAATAAAGAAAAAGAGAAGGAATATAATGAATAAGGAGAAGGAAATATGAATAAGAAAAAAGAGAAGGAAATATGAATAAAGAAAAGGAGAAAGAAATATGAATAAAGAAAAAAGGAGAAGGAAATATGAATAAAGAAAAAAGGAGAAAATATGAATAAGAAAAAAGGAAGAAGGAAATATGAAAAAAAAGGAAAAATAAATATGAATAAAGAAAAAAGGAGAAGGAAATATGAATAAAGAAAAAAGGAAAAAGACAGCGAAAGCGAAGAAGAGAAAGGCAGGATCCATCTCCTCCCACAATAGGATCTGGTTGCCATCGAG